GTGTTTTTTTTTTTTTTTTTTTTTTTTTTTTTTTTTTTTTTTGAACCCCTTCTTTTTATTAGAGGGGTGGAAACTGGGCCCAGCGTCCCTCACATTTGTCACTGCGGTTAGCCAGGGGCCTGGTCACATTATTAGAACAGAGGATTGGATTTTATTTCTGAATCTGGACTGGGTTGTGGAAAGATGCAGAAAATTGCGATTGATCTGCTTTTCTGCATCTCTGAGCAAAACGCTTCCAGATTCAGGAATTTAATCCAATCCTCTTTGCTAATGGGACCTGACTCCAGGGCCGAGGTCCCACTAGCAAAGAGGATCGGATCGAATGCCTGAATCTGGATGTGGTTTATGCGGAGATGCAGAAAAGCAGATCAATCTCGATTTCCTGCACTTCACAAACGCGTCCAGATTCAGGCATTCGATCCAATCCTCTTTGCTAATGGGACCTGACTCCAGATGAGCGCTATGGGCTCTCCGGCCAAGCAGAGCTTTTCTTTTTTTTTTTTTGTCTTTTTTTTCCCCTTCTTCGTAAATGAAAGAGGGGGTCCCCCAAGCAGAGCGTTAAAAAAAAAAGAAAAGTCAATAAAAAAGCAGAGCGTTGTGCTTACGAATGCCTTTGTTTATTCTTTTCTTTTACCGACCGCTTTTTTTTTTTTTTTTTTTTTTTTTTTTTTGGAATCACTTGAATCTCTATACATACGTTTCAGTTATAATTGGTTGACAAAAGAAAAGAAAAAAAAAGAAGAAAAAAACGAAGAAAAAAAAAAAGAAAGCTACTTATGTGGTAAGTGTGTCAAGCTTCTCATGATTAAAAAAAGAAAAAAAAAAAAAAAAAAAGCTTCTTATGATGATGTCGATCAATATTGGAATCAGTGAGGCCATCGCAATAGCACGGGGGATTAAAAAAAAACCTAAAAATTCGACTTTTCTATAGCAGAGTGTTCTTCTTGTGTGTTGGCATATGGATTATGTTTTCCTCTGTTTTTCTTGTCGTTTCGTTTTT